TTGATGTTATTTGTTAATGTTAGTCCTAATTGATCTAGGACATCTCGTCCCCATAAATTTACGGGAAGATGATCCAATACATATGGCTGTATAGTTCCTTCACATCCTTCAGGATCCTTCCAATCTAATACCATTCCACTTCTATGGGGATTAGTTGCCACTCCTAGGCCTCGAAGCGTTTGAGTGGCTTGTTGTAATGGCCAATGTTTTGGCCATTCTTGACGAGAGATGATGCTAAGGTCTGCACCTGTATCCAGTAGCCCATTAAATTCATGTCCTTGAATATTTAGTTTTAGCATGGGGCAAGAATCTCAATTTAAAGAAAGCATAGCTCAATCTACACCTGTAGAGCCTAATCCCCTGGAACCTCTTTCTACAGTATGACTGGAAAATTTATCATGTAGGCTGGGTATTATTAATAACTGTGCTATTCTATCTCCTGGTGAAATTACTGATATACCCTTTGGAGAACTGGCTATAATTTTTATTTCACCTTCATAATCGGGATCAATTACCCCAGGACTTATCATAGTCCTTTTAGAGTAGAAGAACTGAGTCCCAATAATAAGCCTACTGTTCCTTTGGGAAGAGGTCTTTTTACCCCTGTGGGAATGATTTGAACTCCCATCTCTGGAGTTAGTACTGTTCTGGCGGAGGTGCAGCTGTCCAATCCTGTGCTTCCTCTGCTTTGTCTAGTGAGGGATCTAATGGATAATGTGTCCTGGGCACTACCCTGATGGGGTTGCTGGGTTCCTCCAGTTCCCCCTATATTTGTGGTCGTGGGCCCCAGAGCATTGGGCCCCCCTGTCCATTTTTTGGCAATGGAGCCCGATGCCTTTCTCCACAATATTGTGGATAGACACCTGGTCCTTGTTCGTTTTTTGATAACGGAGTACCCTCTATGGTGGTTTGAGAATGGCATTCATTAGCCCAATGTCTCCCTCTACAGCATTGTGGGCAAATACCCGGTATTCTACTCCTTTGATACCTAGATTTGTTAAACCCTCCTATGGGGCAATTCCTTTTAAAATGTCCTATTTGTTCACAATTGTAGCATGTTTTTGGCCTGGCATCTAAAACCTGTTGTACTGCAGCTGCCAAGACTTGCCCTTGTTCATTAATGTCTCTACATAATTTAATATATGTGTTTAAATCTTCATGTTTCCATGGTCTAATGACCTCTCTGCACCAACAATTTGCTTGCTCATAAGCCAGTTGTTTTATTAATGGCATTGCTTGTTCTGGATTCCCCCAAACTCTGGTAGCTGTTTGAATAAGCCTATCTACAAATTCAGCGTAAGGTTCATTAGCTCCTTGTATTACCTTAGATAATTGACCTTGTAAACCTCCATGTCCTTGTAAAGTCTTCCATGTTCTAACTGCATCTTCAGCAATTTGTAAGTATATGGCAGGATCATATTCAATTTGTTGCTGCTGATCCTCATAAGGTCCCTTTCCTAACAACATATCTAGATTTCTCTGAGGATAACCAGCTGCTGCATTTCGCCTAGCCGTCTCCTTGCAAAATTCCTCATTGGCAACCTTCCATAACAGGTATTGTCCTCCATTTAGCACAGCTTTACACATACTAGTCCAATCTGCTGGCATCATGTTCAAGTTGGTAATGGATTCGACCATGCTTACAGTGAAGGGTGCTTGAGGACCATAGGTTGTTACAGCCTCTTTTAGCTGCTTCACTGTTTTGAAATCTAAAGCATGGTGAATTCGCTGCCCTCCTGCCTGCTCAAATACAGGGCATGCTAATATTTGAGGTCCTGTCTCAGGATCCCATCTATCAACTACGGGGGTTGGGGGCCTCCCAGCATATGGAGGTGGCGCTGTTGGTTGGACACTTACGTCCTCTGGTGATAGAAAGATGTTAGTAGCAGTCTCCTGTTGTAACTTTTCCCCTGATGGCTTTTTCTGCTCTAGACTTTCTTTCTCTAACTAGCTCGAGAGACCTTCTCTTTTACTTGAATTTTTTCCTCTGTCTGACTAGCTCAATAGACCTTTTCTTTTACTTGAATCTTTTCCTCTGTCTGACTAACTTGAGAGACCTTCTCTTTTACTTGAATCAATATGTCTTCTTCTTCCTCTACCATTGTCTGAACTGAAGGCTTTGGACTAAGCAAACAAGATACGAACGTCCACAATGGCAATGTGCCAACTGGCAGAGTTCCTGGGCTTTTCTTTTCTATTCTTTTTAAATCTTCACCATGATGGTTCCATTGTGATATATTTAACAAGTCCTCCTTAAAAAGCCATGGGCTACATTTTTGTATTGTATCAATGTATGCCCTGACTGCTCTTGATTTTACTGGGATGCCTCCTTCCTCTAACAATTTACTTAACACTCTTTCGGTTTGTTTTTTACTAATCTCTGATCCCATATTTCTACTATAAGTATAATACAACCCAACAAGATAATGAACGCCAAACAAAACCGATACAGAATGAAACAAAAATGGAACAACAAAAAATCATTATATCAGCCTTTCTATCCTCCTGAAATGTCCATCCATCCTTTCTCTCTGTTCCTCGGACGCAAATAGTTTTTCCTCAGATGTGAGCGGTTTTTCTTCTGTCTCACCCATCTCCAGGGACAGGCAACTTAAAACAAAAGCAAACAAAACGAAAGAAGAATCTTGAAATGGCTACCCATCCTCTCACCCTGCCCTCAGGGGCGAGCAGTTTACCTTATCACTTACCCTCAGTCGTTCCCGTAGGGGCCACCAAATGCAGCAGTCTGGCTGGGCACAATTCAGGAGCCACTTATCAAGCAGAAACGAACTTTATTTTTAGAAAACAAACTCCGCAAAACACAAGCTCTTCAGGAATTCCCTCAGAGCCCAACTGCCACCACCAGCTTCACAGGAGCCTCTCAACCCCCCACTCCTCCTGCTCTTGAGGCAGATTGGCTGGGTTGCGTGGACAGAGCCAAAAGAGTCCCCCAATGAGCAGCTCTGTGGTCTGAAAGGGCGGGGAAACAGCCCAATGAGCATCACCGCAGAGGAGCCAATCAGCTGGCAGCTGGAAGTTTGCTGGGGCCATGGTGAGCCAATCAGTTGGAAGTTTGCTGGGGGGCCTTCGGCTGTGGCTCTCAACAATTTACAGTGATCTGTATACTTTTTTTTTTTATAACAATTTTTTTAAAATATTTTTTTATTTTTTTTAGTTTTCGGCGGACACAACATCTTTGTTTGTATGTGGTGCTGAGGATGGAACCCGGGCCGCAAGCATGCCAGGCGAGCGCGCTACCGCTTGAGCCACATCCCCAGCCCTGTATACTTTTAAACACTTTATTCCCCCAGAGGATTGTGCACAATGAAAAAAGTAAATCCTAAATGGTTATACACTATATGATTCCACATATAAATACATAACATTCTTGTGAGGACAAAATTTATAGAAATACAGAATAGATTAGTGGTTTCCAGGGATTGAGGAGAAGGTGGGTTAAGGGGGAAAAGTGGTGTGACTATTAAAGGACAAATGAGGAATCCTAGCAGGGACAGAAACATTCTGTATCTTGACTGTAGCAATTGTTTATATACTGGTTGTAATATGTAATTGTAATATGTAATCTGCAATACTGCAAGATGTTATCATTAGGGGAAAGTGGGGAAAGTACACAGGATCTCCCTGTATTTCTTCTTACAATTGCATTTTAATTTGCAATTGTTTTAAAATAGTTTAATCAAATGGCATGGTTTTCCCTTCACCTACTGCTTAAAATCAATGGTTTCCTCTGGATTTTATATCTTCTGTCCACTTCCCCAAGATCACGAGGTTCCCCTTGAAGTAGGATAGAAGGAATAAAGATAGGTAAAAAGGAGACAAAAGGGAAGGAAAAAAGCCGGAAAAAAGCCTATAGCTGTAACTCTAAAAGCCCCAAGCTTGGACCTTCTCTCCAGATATCACTCCCAGGCCTGTCATTCCCAGATTTCTGAGAAATCTACAAAACCTTTTTAAAAAGAGTTACTATAAATTCACCCATCTATGAAAATTGCCTCATTTGATTAAATATGTGCACTGTTAGCGTACATAATTTAGACACATTCCAAAGATTGATTAGATAGAAGAGATAATGTCAAGCTGAAAATCCTGGATACAGACCAGATAACCATAAACAGCTTGTGATTTATGATCAAAGAACTGAGTTCACCAGGCTGACAAGGGTCCCACATAACCTTACCACATCTACCCTTCATAAAGTTTCCTTTAAAAGAAAAGCCCCAGTCAGGCATGGTGGCCCTCGGGTTTCCCAGCGACTAGGGATTTGAGGCCGTGTCTCAAAAAATAAAAAGGACTGGGAGTGTAGGTGAGTGGTGGATCACTTCTGGGCTCAATCCCCAGTACCAAAACCAAAACAAACCCGCGTTCTGCTCTTGAAAATGCTTATCTTCACCTTTCACTTTCTAATAAACACCTTCATATGTTCTAAAACTTGATGCTTTCTTAAATTCTCTTCTGCAATGTGTCAAGAGCCTGGAAGGTCTAAGTAAACGTCTCCTCGAACCCCCTTACGGTGACACCCTCAGGTCTTTGCTCCACACACACGGGCATTCCTTCACTTCCCCTTGGGTCCCCCACCACCACTAGTTATACTCCTATCCACTAGCACATGCTGTTCCCATCTGGACCATGCTTCTGTCTCTGCCATATAACTCCTGTTTGTCCTTCAGATCGCAACAGAAGCCTCAAATCCTTAGGACGAACTTTAAAACTCTGACCAAGTCGAATATCATCATTACACTTCGACATTTGTTGCATGATTAATGGGTTTTCTTTTACTAGACAATTCCACGAATAGACTGCCTCATTGTCTCACTTGCACGGAGCTCATAGCTCCGCATCAAGAATATTTAGAAGAGTATTTTTTGATTTGAAAGAGAGAGAATGCAATCAACGCCCACCCTTGCACTGCGCTTCTTGGAGGGACATGTCGTAAGGAGTCGCGCATCGCAAGACGTCACTTCCGCCCGGAAGACTCACGGAGAACCGCTGGAATTCCTGTCACTTCTCAGTATCTCCGTGAATATGGCTTTACCGCCCTTCTTCAACCCGGGTCGCCCGGGCCCGCCGCCCCCGCAGCCCCCGCCTCCTACTCCTTTCGGCTGTCCGCCACCGCCGTTGCCCTCCCCGGCTTTTCCGCCGCCTCTTCCCCAGCGGCCCGGCCCTTTTCCGGGGGCCTCTGTCCCCTTCCTCCAGCCTCCGCTGGCTCTGCAGCCTCGGGCCCCCGCGGAAGCCTCCCGCGGCGGCGGCGGCAGCGCTTTCTACTCGGTGCCGCCACCGCCGCTGCCTCCGCCGCCGCCCCAGTGCCGGCCCTTCCCGGGGACCGATGCTGGCGAGCGCCCGAGGCCACCGCCTCCAGGCCCGGGGCCGCCCTGGAGCCCACGCTGGGCTGAGGCGCCGCCGCCGCCCGACGTGCTTGGGGACGCGGCCCTGCAGCGCCTGCGCGACCGGCAGTGGCTGGAGGCGGTGTTCGGGACCCCCCGGCGGGCGGGCTGCCCGGTGCCCCAGCGCGCGCCCGCCGCGCCCAGCCTAGGCGACGTACGCGCGCGGTTGCGTGGTGCTCTGCGCCTGGTGCGGCGGCTTCGTGGCCTGGGTCAGGCCCTGCGCGAGGCGGAGGCCGACGGCGCGGCCTGGTCCCTATTGCATGCCCAGGCCGCGCCGCTGCGCACCGAACTAGCTGAGCGGTTACAGCCACTGTCCCAGGCCGCCTATATGGGCGAGGCGCGGCGGAGGCTAGAGAGGGTCCGGCGCCGCCGGCTGCGGCTTCGCGAAAGAGCCCGGGAACGCGAGGCCGAGCGGGAGGCGGAGGCCGCGCGGGCAGCGGAACGCGAGCAGGAGATTGACCGCTGGCGGGTCAAGTGCGTACAGGAGGTGGAGGAGAAGAAGCGGGTGAGAGCAGCGAAGGACATGGCTGTAGGGGTGGTGGTGGTTGGAACCTGAGCGGTGTGAAGTTTTTAAGCTGACATTTCTCAGGGCTTAGCCTGTTTCCGTATTTGTAAAATGTTAGCCACCCTTTCCACCTGGTACTCCTATACTAATTGCGTGTTAATGATGTATGGCACACAAAACAAAGCTCTAGTGCACTGTAAAGGACTGTAAACCAAAATTATAAGGTTTATAAGTGACTTTACTGCCCTAAGTGACTTTAAGAATGCAAAATATAGAGAACTTGGGACCCTGCCTCAAGGAACATACCCTAATTGGCTGGTGGAGCAATAGTGTTTTTCCCAGGATTTGCTTGCTGGTTTTAAAACATCTATCAACCAGGTGCAATGGCACATACTTTTAATCTCTGCGACTTGGAGGCTGAGACAGGATGATCACAAGCTTAAGGCCAGCCTCAGCAATTTAGTGAGACCTGGTCTCAAAAAGTAAAAAGGATGGGGATGTAGCTCAGTAGCAAAGCAGCTCTGTGTTCAGTCCCCAGTATCAATAAATAAAACATGTCCCTAGGTTTAGCAATCATGTTTTTGAGCACTTAACTATACATGTACTAGGTGCTACTCTAAGGTATTAAATAAACTAGATCATGAGTTTTTATAACAACCCCAAGATATAGGAGGAATTTCACCAGTTTTACAGATTCGAAAATGAGGCAAAGAGAGATTAACTTGCCAACAATCACAACCAGTTTGTGGCAGTTTAACTTCAGATTTATGCCCCAATTGTCTGTTTCTAAGCCTGTCATCTCAAGCTCTTAAGTAGGACCAGGGTGAAAATGTAAATTGGTAAAATGTTCTACTAAGGCCTTCTCTTTTCCTTTGAATGCTGTTGGGGTTCCATTCCCGCCTCCCTCCACTTTCCCCAGTCAGTTCCTCCTCTTTATGGTCTGCTGCTACTCTGGAGTCTAATATAACTTTGCAGTGAAGTATATTAATGGCAAGCTGTATCATTGCACTTCAGAATATCATTGCTTTAAAGGAGAATGTCTGGACAGGCAGCACTTTAACCCAAGGGAATTTGAGTCAGTTAAGCTGGAATTTAACAAGAGCCCATTAGGTGCCAGAATCGGTGCACAATACCAAGGATAGAGATGAGTAGTCCATAGCCCTTGTGCTTGAGAATCTTAGAGTCTCAGAAGGATCATGTCATTGTAGCATGGTGTGTGTTAGGGTTTCATTTATAGGTGCTATAAGGAGACAAGAGAAGGAATATTCAGTCCAAATGATATAATGACTTGTAAGCTGAGCCTTGAAAAAAATGTCAAAGTAAGTGAAGGCATCAGATACTGTTCCAGGCTGAGGGAATAATCTAAGCAGAAGGGTGAAACAGCATTATCTTCCCTGGGAATCTGAATCTTTAGGCCAGTGTGTCTGCATTTTTAACAAGAGAGTGCCCCATTTAACAAAGTAAGTTGGGAGCAGATACTCCCTGGACCAAGCTTTGAGAAACAGAAAGAAACAAGGACCAAGTGTCAGTGTTGAAGATGCAGAGAAGAGAGGTTCTCCTTTAAGAAAGTTATACAGTCAGTGGAGGAAGATAAGGCCTTCATTGGACCATTGTAGAGGGGAGTAGTTGTGCCAGGCCTATGAAACTGAGTATAGATTCAGTAGAGTCTTTCTTAACCCTGTGACTGTTTGATCCTTTGAAATCAGCAGCTATAAGCCCTGTTGTAAGGTTGTTTCTAATACAGAGTCTTGTGGTCTCTGTTTCTCCTCCAGGAGCAGGAACTCAAGGCTGCTGCTGACGGAGTCTTATCTGAAGTGAGGAAAAAACAAGCAGACACCAAAAGAATGGTGGACATTCTTAGAGCTTTGGAGAAATTGAGGAAACTGAGGAAAGAAGCAGCAGCAAGGAAAGGTAACCAAGGCTTTGTATTTGTACTTTCATTTCTTCCCCTCTTTCTTCTCCTTCTTTATCTAGTGCCTCTCCACTCCAAATGTTTTAATGGAAAAAATATTTGATATTTTCACAGTGTTGGTAACTGGACTTGTCAGCAGTAGCTTAGAACTTTTGAAGCAAAAAGCCTCAGAAGATGTTTAGCCCCAGGTAGACAAAGTTGAAAAGAAATACAGTGTGGGAATCCACTGTACTTTCTTGCCTTCCACTCATCACTCCTGCCACGGGTATTTCAAGCCAGAGTTTTCTGAGTGGGTTCACTGTAGCTGGTCAGCTTTGCCATGTGCCAAGGTAAAGGTTTCCCTCCTCTTGTTTGCTGCTTCAGAAAGTGTTGAAAACTTGTGTTTCAAACCTGAATTATTGCTATTTGAAGAGATCTTAGTGATTTAATAGGGCAGGGAGTGCTTTGACTATGGATGTCCCCAGCTTCTCTATGTGTTCCTTTTGAACTCAGAAGACTTAACTGGTCTCCTCTTGCCACTGAATGGAGTACTAGACACCATAGCCAGGCCTCCAAGCCTTTCCACAAAGGTTAGTTCCAGCCACATTGGTTTTCTGGAAATTACCCAGTCATGCTTTCCATTTGCCTATCAGTCTTTGCTCTTGCCGTTCAGTTTGTTTGTCGGCCCTCAGTTCCATCTTTTCCATTTTAAGATTTCGTTATCCTTCAAAATTGATTACAGATGCAACATCCTCCATCCTTCCCTGATTGGGCTGAGATGACTTGCTTCCTCTCACTTGCACCTGGTTTTGACCATATACTGCCTTTTTTAGTAGGTAATAAGCCTTTGACATTCATCAGGAATATTTGAGAGTACACAGATCAGAAGGTGCCACTGTACGAAATGATTTCCCCCCTGTGTGGTTCAAAATAGAAATGAAAACTGTGATTCTTTTAGACCCTTAGTAAAGTTTTGTTGGGATGTGACTATTATGCATTCAGCTAGGCTCATTCACTACTTAAGTGATTGGCTTCAGCATGTCAGCTGTCAGAGCAGCTAATTTCCACTCAGCCCTCAGAATCAGATGACCCCATGGCAGGAAGGGGGTTGAGGACTGAACCCAGGGCATTTTACCCCTGAATTATATCCCCAGTCCTTTTTACAGGGATTTAATTTTCAGACAGGGTCTCCCTAAGTTGCTGATGCTGGCCTCCAACTTGGAGTTCTCCCATCTCAGCTTCCTGAGTCACTGGGATTATAGGTATACACACTTGTGCCCAGTTGATGCCACTCTAATTGAAAAGGAATATAGAGGATGAAGAATTGGATGGGGTATATCAGTTTAGTTGGGGGCCAGTTGAGTTTGATACATCCTGGATAAGAGTTCATCAGCAAGTAGCCATAAGTAAGAATGGTCTTAAGAGGACTAAGGGCTCAAAAGATGAAATCCTAGAGAATGTCAAAATCCATGTGAGCAAAGAGCAGACCACAAAACAGACCAAGGGAGGTCAGAGAGAGATGAGGAAAAGGAAGTCTCCTAGAGGCAGACATAAATCCTATACCTCCTAGAAAGTGACAGGTGCTGAGAGTGGTTATAAAATCATGAATACCTTACTTTAATTTCTCTGTGCCTTATTTTCCTCATCTGCTAAAGGGTAGTAATGGTAGTTCCTATCCACGAGTGAATATTGTGAGAATTAAATTAGTGTGTGTAAATTTCTTAAAGCAATTCTAGCACATAAAAATGCTATGTAAATGTTTCATATTATTGTTTTTTTATTTCTGAAGTAATATGAAGGCTAGAAAACATCATGGGAATTAATATGCAACAAGTCATTATGACCTATGCAGGGGCATTTCATAAAGTGGTGGTGGGAGTGAGAAACTGGACTAGAATAGGTTAGAAAGTAGATAGGAGATAAGAGAAACAGTAAATTCAGCTTATTAAAAGATTGCCTGTGGGACTGGGGTTGTGGCTCAGTGGTAGACCACTTGCCTTGCATGTGTGAGGCCATGGGTTCAATCCTCAGCACCACATACAAATAAATAAATAAAAATTAAAGATATTGTGTTCACCTACAGCTGAAAAAAATATATTAAAAAAAAAAAAAAAAAAAAGATTGCCTGTAAAGAAAAGGCAGAGAGCAAGATTAGTATCTGGCCATATGTCTAGTGCTAATGGTGATGGGTGTTATGTGACTTAGAGTCATGAGAAAACTTGAGCATGTTTAAGTGCTGAGGGAAGGAGCGAGGAAGAAGGGTCAAAGAGAAGCAGGAGACATAGTGATTCAGGTTTTCCCAGAAGGTAGGAAGATTTGGATACCAGGTGGAGATATTAACCTAAGTAAAAAGGACCCATCTCCCTCAGGCATGAAAATGAAGGATGAAAAGATGGGAACTAAGGTATATGAGTGCAGTTGGGGGCGGAGGGTTGATAGAGTTCCTGACTGCTAGTCTGTTTTTTTCTTGGAAATTGAATAGCCAGCTTGGTGAGAATCAGTAGAGAAGTAGGGCTTTGTTTGGGCTGGGGATGTGGCTCAAGCGGCGCTCGCCTGGCATGTGTGTGGCCCGGGTTCGATCCTCAGCACCACATACAAACAAAGATGTTGTGTCCGCCAAAAACTAAAAAAATAAATATTAAAAAATCTCTCTCTCTCTCTCTTAAAAAAAAAAAAAGAAAGAAAGAAAGAAGGAAGCATCTTAAAAAAAAAAAAGAGAGAGAAGTAGGGCTTTAAGAGAGTCATGGAAGTTTGAAATAATGCCGTGAGGCCATCAGGAGACCCACGGAAGGTGGTTAGATGGTTGCAGAGAGATACTGTGGGTCTGGCTGATAAACCTATATATATTGAGGTTACCCACCTAAATGACTTCTTCCAGGAGTACTCTGCAGCTGACAAGTGTGCACAAGACAGCTTGGGGCTGTTGGGGATTTTACTTTATAGAGTTACCATAAATGTTGGTGGTCGCTCAAAAAAGGAGTGGAAGGAGGATGAAATCTGGTAGATATATCAGGTTTGGAGGTTTTGGGAAAAACTAATAGTATTTGGGGAGAAGGAACTAAAAATCTTGAGAGGGTAGAAAGTTATAGACAGAAGAGAATAATCTACCTAGATTTCAGAGATGGAAAGTTTTTTCTGATCATGCCAAGATCCAAAGAGTGAATGAGGTCCCAGAGTGTGTGACTGAAGGGGAATAGAGGTGAACACATCTGTGTTTTACAGATGCAGACTAAGGGTATGTGTGGTGGAGGAGAAAGGAATCTACATGATGCTAGTACATGGGGTTGAGAGGAAGACGGGATGAGAAGTGCCCTTTCCAAAGGAGTGTGTCAAGTGCACCAGGAGTGGTCAGTGAGATGTTAAGAGAGCTGTGTGGGTGGTCCAGACCCAACAGAAAGTATTAGCCTGGCAACTTAGTAGAAAATGAAATTGAATTGTAGAGTTTCATAGTTGGGAATCAGTGAATGGAAATATGTTCAAGCAGAGAGGTATGAGAAAATGATCCAGAGAAATGTCAGCCTAGAAGGTAAAGATAAGAGAATGAGCTCCATAATCATTTAATAGAGTGATTGAGGGAGAAAAAATCATACCGCCAATTAAAACTTTACAAGAAATAGAATTACTAAGCTTGAGGAATCATTATTTTAGTCTTTTTGTCAGCTAGAATTGAAATTTTAGTGTTCAAAGCCAACAGTATTATGTTTCACAGGTGGCAGTATAAATTGTTAAAACACTGTTAAATTATCCATTCATCAAATAAATATTCATTCATTACCTTTTCAGTATAAGTAAATGTATAGCTCTTTTAGGAAGCTGTTTAGTACATTTTGGTAATTTTTGAAAGTTTATTCATAAATATTTCCACTTTGAGAATTTCTTAGAAATAACATATTAGGAATGAAAAAAAATAACACACCCAAGAATGTTCATGGTAGAATTGTGTAACAATAGGATATTGGAAACAGCTAAAGGTTCAGTAGTAGAGAGCTTTTTAAGTGTATTATGATAACATTTATTTGTTGAAATTGGATAGACACTAAATAACTATAAATACTGGGGAAAAATGGGGAGAATCAATATTGAGATGCAAAAATTAAGTACATGTTATGTTGAACTAAATGAACTTGCTAATATATGGATGGAAAGATTAGAAGGAAATATAAGGAAATAAAAATGGTTGATGAAGGCAGTGGGGTTGGAATTTTTTTCTTCCTTGATTCTGGTTTTTCAAATGCTAGGTTAATAAATACAGTTTCCTTTAAAAGTGTTCAAGGTGGGGCTGGGGTTGTGGCTCAGTGGTAGAGTGCTTGCCTAGCATGCACGAGACACTGGGTTCGATCCTCAGCACCACATAAATGTAACATAAAGATATTGTGTTCACCTAAAACTAAAAAATAAATATTAAAAGAAAAGTATTCAAGGTTTGACAGAATGAACTATAACCACATCAGTCCACAAGGAATCACTTAGCAGTTTCAGCAGCTTTTATATTGAAAGGCCAATAGAGTAGTGAATGCACAACTGTAATCTATTCACGTATTCATTAAAATTTTAAATGTTTTCTTATAAAACTTGATGAAAAATTTCACACATGCACAAAAATAGAATACATAAGTATTAAAATATTTTGTAATTATAGATGAACACAATACCTTTATTTTATTTGTTTATTTTTATATGGTGCCAGGGATCGAAACCAATGCCATACGCATGCTAGGCAAACACTCTACCACTTAGCCACAACCCTGGCCCCTGTGATATCATTATTACACCAAAAAAGTGACCAATAATTCTTTGATATTGCCTAATAAGTAGTCTGTAAGTAGATTTTCCCAGTTGTGGCTTTAGTTATGTTGATTGTACTGTTAGCTGATCTCCAAGATTAATCAGAGTTAACAAATACCCCAGTTTTCCTGGGACATAAGGCTAAAGAAGGCAAATAGTTGGTCATCTCACTGTCAGCCACAGGCTTTGAGATCAGTCAATGTGATTGATTATGTGTATCTTCTACCTCAGGAGTATGCTCTTTCAGAATTCAGAATGGTAGAGAATTGTCTATGAGGTCTGAGAGCTGATGCTGAGGGAATTTCACAACCAATGAAAAAGTTACGACAGATGCCTCCCTTAAGTGAGCTTGCTGTCCAACTGGAAGATCAAAACCATTAGAGACAAAACCAAAGATTAAGTGGTGTGATCCAGAGGGAGGAGATACAGGAGGTTCTCTTGGTAGGGGTCAGCCTTATTGGAAATTCGAAAAGATTAAATTGAGCCTTGAAGACCGAGTAGAATGTCCAAATTCTAAGCAAATTCATACTAAAGGTAAGACATTGAATCTGCTCATTTGAACATGGATTCTGGGATAAGAAAAAATGTTATCTAAAATACTATTTGGTTCTTCTTGCCCAGGGGTCTGTCCTCCAGCCTCAGCAGATGAGACTTTTGAGCACCATCTTCAGCGACTGAGAAAACTCATTAAAAAACGCTCTGAACTATATGAAGCTGAAGAGAGAGCCCTTAGAGTTATGTTGGAAGGAGAACAAGAGGAAGAGAGGAAAAGAGAATTGGAAAAGAAACAAAGAAAAGAAAAAGAGAAATTTTTACTTCAGAAACGTGAAATCGAGTCCAAGTTATTTGGGGATCCAGGTAAGTTCTCTTTACCCAGTAGAGAAAAGGAAAATAATAATTTGGCACCTCTTTTTATCATGTGTGATTTTTCACTTAAGCTAGGAGGTGGTAGGCAACAAATGACGCCTTCTGATTTGAAACTTTAACTATATCATGCAAATCATAGATACAGACAAAACATGTTTGATTCTATTGTCATAATCATAGGCTCAGTCACCCTGCTTCTCAAGTACCCTCAATAGCAAGCATAATGATGTGGTCTCCTTCCTTTTCTCTTTCAGATGAGTTCCCACTTGCTCACCTCCTGCAGCCTTTCCGACAGTATTACCTCCAAGCCGAGCACTCCCTGCCAGCACTCATCCAGATAAGGTCAGAGGGGCAGGCTCTTTCTCTTGTCTTTCCCTGGGTAGCAAGAAGCACTTAATGAAGTGCTTATGTTATTGAGGCCTGTTACTGTACTTTTTTTTTAAGTTCCTTATAGGTTTATGATGTTGCCAAGTTTCATGGAGGCCACATACGTCTTGTTTAGTTCTCATTAGATCCATTTTAACAGGTAAAGAAACTGAAACTCAGTTGTGAGACTTGCCCTTTTGCATAGCTCTTCTGTGGATTTAAAACATTGGCTTCATTTTTTTTTTTTTTTAAAGAGAGAGAATTTTTTAATATTTATTTCTTAGGTTTCGGTGGACTCAACATCTTTATGTGGTGCTGAGGATCAAACCCAGCGCCCTGCGCATGCCAGGCAAGCGTGCTACCGCTTGAGCCACATCCCCAGCCCCTAGCTTCATTTTCTTTTTTTTTTTTTTTTTTGAGAGAGAGAATTTTATTTTTTAGTTTTCGGCAGACACAACATCTTTGTATGTGGTGCTGAGGATCGAACCCGGGCCGCACGCATGCCAGGCGAGCGCGCTACCGCTTGAGCCACATCCCCAGCCCTAGCTTCATTTTCTTGATTCTCTTCTGATGCTAAACAGATCTAGGAAGAAAAACCCTCCTTTGAGTACTTGCCTGTAGAGACTGGCCTCAGTGGTAGAGTGCTCCCCTAGCATGGATGAGGCACTGGATTTGATCCTCAGCACCACATGAAAACAAAATAATTTGTCTACCTAAAACTAAAAAATACATAAATAAATATTAAAAAAAAAAAAAGAAAGACTCAGGCAGACTTCTGAGTTCCTACCGGTCATAGCCCAGAGATCTGGAAACAAGGGACTCATCTGAATCCATGATCTGGGTAAAGTTTTCAGCTTTGTGGGTCTCATCTCACCTGTGAAATGGAGATTGTGGACTAGAATGTGGCCTTCAAACTGAAACAGCATCATTCTTCCCAAATGCAGTTTTTTGAGAAATCAGTATATAAAACAAATGGAATGCATAGGTTTCCCAGGCAGGTTAAATCTTGCTGATTCTAGATTCTTCAAAACATTTTGGGGTCTAGGAGTCCTCAAATATGGTTTGAAAATCACCAAAAGAGGTGATCTCTACAGGTCCCTTCCAAAACTACAATTTATGATTCTCTGGAAAGAATGCTCTTTAGCACACCAAATTTATTTTCTGGGAAGAGTTTATATAATTTTTTTTTTTTTTTTTAGAGAGAGAGATAATTTTTTTAATATTTATTTTTTGGTTTTCGGTGGACACAACATCTTTATTTTATTTTTATGTGGTGCTGAGGATCAAACCTAGCGCTCCCCACATGCCAGGCAAGCGCACTACCGCTTGAGCCACATCCCCAGCCCCAAGAGTTTATTTTTAACTCATGTACAAGTTTCAGCTTTTAAACATAAGTACAGTTTATTATTATTCACAATAGCTGTGTTCCATCAGGTCACTATGAACACTGAATTACAGAGTACCAAACCATTGTGTCTAAAGGAAACAAGAGATTAAGAGATTCCTTCGAGCCTCTGGTTTCATTTTCATCAACTGATTGTACCTTGTTTCGTGTGTCTTCTTTTTAAAGACACTTTGTTGAACACATATTGTCAATTCATTAACAAGGACTTTATGGCTAATAGCACTATAACTCATGCCCAAATGAAGCACAAGGCACAACAGTTCTCTGACATGTAGCACACTAGCCAACACTTCACCATTACACTCCATTTTAAACAGAGAGACTATCAGTAAAAAGCACAAAAATATGGGGAGGGGGAAACATGGTAGTAAGTAGACCACAAAAAGGACACTTATATACAGTGAAAGAACTATAAACAAGAAAGCAGAATGAGTGTTGCTTTGACCTTAGCTCACAACAAGTATTTTAGTGACTCAGATTTCTTTGCTACTCTGCATCTATGAGTATCCATGAAAGTACCATAAGTGATGATTTGGGGGTTACAAATAAATTTTAGTGAGTAGGCAAATTTGTATATACAAAATCTAATAATGAGGCTCAGCTGTATGTTAATTATTTGGTTACCCATAAGGTTGTAAGTTCTTCAGAATTTTTTCCCTAAATATATACATTTAAGAAATGTAACCTTTTGTGTATGTCCTGGAAACCATGTTCTATAGTAGATTAATACATTAGTTATTTGAAAGCTCAGTTCTGGAAATAGAATTATTGAACATCTTGCTTGGGAAAAAAAAACAGAAATAAACAATTGTTCTATAATGTTCTTATTAAGGCATGATTGGGATCAGTACCTGGTGCCATCCGATCATCCTAAAGGCAACTCCGTTCCCCAAGGATGGGTCCTTCCCCCGCTCCCCAGCAACGACATCTGGGCAACCGCCATTAAGCTGCATTAGGAAAGATGCTCCAGGAGTGTGGTCCAGCCAACGCTCTTTCCAGCTCTAAATATTAGTGATGTTGCCATCTTATGCTGTAGACTAAACCATAACTGCTAAACTCCCTGTGTCAATGCCCTAGCCTAAAGTTATGCTTTCTTATATGCTCTGTCCTGGCCAGAGGTACCTCTTGAATCAGGAGATTAATATTGTTCTTTGGGGAGGGGCTGGGGATATACCTCAGTTGGTAGAGTGCCTGCCTCACATGCACAAAGCCCTGGTTCAATCCCCAGCACCATAAAAACAATATGGTTCTTCAGGAAAGGACCTAGGTGAATTGAGGTTATTACCACAGGTAGTGACCTTGGTTCACTAAATTTGCCTCTGTTTTGAGGGGCTTGGTCTAGAGTGACTTATTAATTTAGTCTAGCTTCCTTGTATGGTGATGGGTAAGTATACTCAATACACTTAAATACTCAGAACAAGTGTGTGCTGGGTGGATTTAGCAGCCCGTCACCAATAACTGAGCGTAAAGGCAAGCTTGATGCAAAAACCTTCTTACCTTCCTACCTAGAGAACACTAACTCCCTGGGGTAAAGGTCAAAAGCCTTCAGTTTTCTTAATCCTAGTTTTTGTGCAGCTTGGGAGATGGCAAGTTAGGAAGATGGCAGTGGCTACAGGCTGGGCTGCCAGAAAACATGATGGCCTAGTCTCAGTAGTCATGCAGAGAACTTAGGAAATCTGAAGAGTACCCATATTCAAATTGGATCATGTTTTAGTGGACATGGACAATGACTGTATTTTCCTCATGTTCTCCGTTCTAGTGAAACCACCTGGTTTTTGAAGTTCCTAGGAGTCTAGTTTTTTCAGAATCTCCCAGAATAGAAAGTTCTCTGTGGGAGTGGGACCTTAATCTCAGTCACATTGTAGGAGGCTGGTTTAGCTGTGGAATTTTCTTAGGAACTCAAGCTTCCCAAAACATCCATGTAGTCATAGTTGGGAGAAAAGGAAATAAGAATGACAAAATTTATTTTTTATATTCATTAATAAATGCTGTTGAGATGATCTGTCATATAACATGTCAACTTTTGTTTTGGTTTGTTTTGATTTTTGCCAATTTTGTTATTTAATTTCTGAAAAACTAAATAAACATCATTTTTATTTTTTAGTTTCAGCCTTTGCCCCCAATTTGTTGCCTCTTAAATCATTTAACACATTTCACTTTCACATTGCTGAAACATTTTCATTCCAAAATTGAAATTTATTAAACAGGCATTTGCTACAGGAAAATGAATCTCAAACACCAAACTTTGTCTGCAACATCCAACTCTGGATAAGCAAGGATGGACACCATCAACTTAGAAATGATTTATAGTTGGACACTCCTGGGTTCAAGATACTAATGCCTTTGTCTCTTTCTATTGTTTGATTTGTATTGTTTGCACTGCACATTATGTGTTTCAGAGTTCACAAGGAATGAGGGACCATACTTTTCCAAAGTGTGTCTAAGCTCATAAATCTTAAAATCTGAAGTGATTGACCTCAAGTAACCCCCACAGTCCTGTGGTGACTTTTCCTTTGAAGGCTCCACCATTTACCCTGATGAACTGCAGTAGGAGCAGAAATAAAAGATGAATTGTACCATCTTTGTTTGGTGCCTGAACAGTCTTGTCACTAAGATACCTGCATTGATGAAGGCGGGGAATGTGAGGTAGGGACTCTGGAGAATCAGGCAGCAAAACCCAAGCAGAGGGAGCATTTATCCTTAGAGGAAAAAAAACATTCCTCTTACCTTTTATTTGACCTTTGCAAGGTTTTTATAAAGTGAACTTTATTTGGTTTTTGTTTTAAGTTTTTCCTGATTTATTGCCTTTGTGCTATGGCATTTCTTTACGGGCTTAGAAAGAATCACAGCATCTTTAATGAATTGTACTTTCAAAACTACAAGTGGTGTCATTGTAAATATCTTACCCTATGGTCCAGTCTTTTAACTATGGAAAATTTCATATATATACAGAAGTAAAGAGGTTAGTGTGACCTTTTCTCCCATGTACTTATCATCCAGCTTCAAATAATTATCAAGTCATACAGTCTTGTTTCATCTGTATCTCCACCACTCACCTGGATTATTTTGAAGCAGATCCCATCAAACTACTTCATCCATGAATACTTGAGTATGGAACCTTAGTTTAAAAAAATTTAACCACAGTACTATTATCACATTTAATGAATTTTTTTTTCTGAAGAGTTCCCAGTCTCCATCTCACCAATTACATCTTTGTGATATCATATCCTTCTGTTTCCATACTTCTTTAGTTTAGTGGTTCAACAGCTATGCCATCCAATATGATAGTCACATATGCTAGTAAGCACTTGAAATGTAACTAGTTTGAATTAAGATAGGGATAATGTATGTGGCTCACATTCTTTCTACTAGGTAACACTGTTCTAGAAGCTTGGTGACATTTTGATTGGAATTTTATGGCAAGACTACTTTACATACATGGTATGTACTTCATTTAGCAGGTTCTACTGTCTGTCCCATTGGGCTGTTAGCAGCCACTAATAAGACCTAGATTCATTAATTCATTAGGGGAGGGAAAATAGTAGTAATTTAATTCCGTAATTCTTCAATTATTAACTGGAATACTAAAAAGAGAAACTTCCCCTCATCAACTATTTGGTTATCCTTGAGTATAATTTGTATAGGAAAGCAAGAGATAAATAAATACTTAATTCTTTTTATTTACAGATTCATAAAATAACGAATTGGTTTTTAACATCCCCCAAAGATAGCCAGTGATTTTTGTTTTGCACATTTGTTGTTGTTGTGGGGTGGGGGGTGCTGGGATTAAACCTGGGACCTTTCATATGCCAGGCAAGTGTTCTACAACTGAGCTGCACCCACTGCCCAAGTTTTGTTTTTAAGTATCTTTATGAATTTGGACCTAAACATTTTTCTTTAAAAACCATCAAACCATTGTTGTTATCTTTATTGCTTGCCCCATCTTTTGGACAGTAGGAGGCTCTTCAACTCCTACTGAGTTCCCATACATTCCAGTATTCTGTTTTAAATTTATCTTGTACCATCTGCCACCTCAGACCTGGAGTCAGTGATTTTTTTCCAGTGAGTTCTGGTTCTTCTTTAGAAGAAAAAGTATTTATAGATCATAACCTTCATGTTAGGGGTGCTTATTGTTATTGCTTCCCATTTAGAGTCATTTCTTATTCTTTTTAGTCAACAGAATTTGGAACTACATTGCTGTTGAGCCTTCAGCCTTTTTGAAATCATGTCATTTTTATACTTTTACCTGAATTCTCTATAGATTGAACATGAATGGATAAAAATAGAGAAACCATTCAATGACTAATCAGAAAGTCAACCAATTACTTGTTGATTCATCATATCATATATGCAAGCATACTTTTCTTTTTTTCCTTTTCTTTTGCATGGTTCTGGAGTTGAACCTAGGTCCTCTTTCTCACAAGCTAGGCAAGTGTTCTACAACTGAGCTACGTCCCCAGCCCTGCAAGCATACATTTATTTCCTAGAAGTGTCATCCCTGGACTTGTGAAGAACTCTGACAAAAACATTTACTTTTAAGAAATGATATAAACATAGGGAAGAAAGCTATGAGAGAAAGAAAATACATTAAATACTAAGAGTATTCCACCCAAGTGGCTGAGTTTATGTTGTCGAAGAATTTTCTGCTATAAGCCAACCAATCACTCTAAAACCAAGCTTCTGTGACCATGTGACTTTTGTAACAAGAAGCTTAGCTAAGATTATGCCATCTGTTGTAGCAGTTCACTTCTACATGTTTTGTTCACAAAGAAGCTCTCCTGGGAATTCCAAGGTAAGTCCAAACTATATCTTGTTCCATTGAAATAAGAGTAAAATTCAGTAGATTAAAGGAATGTGAATGCTGTGAAGTATTAGTAGTGATTTATTTTAGGGAACAAATTAAATGACACATTTCCAACTAACTTTTTGTAATGTTTTGAGCCAATAAATTACCATATAAGGAGCTTGTTACTTTGTGTGTATTGGTATTGTAGTTCCTAACTTGCCACATCTGGTCACCTATGAAGAATTTGTTTTGCCTTTTGGAATAAACTGATTTCTCAACAGTCTCTGAAACTAAGATCGCGATCTTTGAAGCAAAGTGGTGTTAGAATGCATAACATTGTTAAATTCATGTTTGTCAGAATCAGGATACCAGAATTTGTTTTCTTGGAATATGATTTTTTAAATTTCCCATTTTCTGGGTACTGTATTAGATGCTTCAAACATTAAAAAGGAGCAGACATATAGGATTCATGCCTTCCTGGAATCTGAATATAAAGTAGAGAATGTAAAGTTTTAATAATTGTACAGATATTTAGAGTCATTAGTTACAATTATGATTATGCTACAAGGAATAGTACTTAGTAATTGATTTATAGTTTTCATTATCCAAATATTTATTACAAAGTACCCATAGAGGCTAAGCAAAATACCAGATGCTCCCTAACTTCACAGAAAATACAGGTTGTGAGAAAGATATTAATCTAATTATAAAAAAAAATGCACTGAGTACTTTGAAGAAAAGGTATGATTCTAGGAGAATATGAAGTAGAAATTTTTTTCATACATGGTTCTATAATAAGGAGAAATAACAGAAAAAACTATCATCTAGTAGGGATAAGAATTGTTCCATCTACATATGTATATGCTAGGTCATAAAATATATACTCTGTCACCGTAAAATATATATATATTTTTAAATTTATATGTATGGATATATATGTGTGTATATATATATATATATATATATATATATATATATATATATGGATAGTGCCACTATATTAATTAGACTTTAAACATTTTATAAAAGCTTTCTTATAAAAGTGATGTTTCAGCTGAACTCTGAAAAATGAACAGCTTTTAATTAGTTGTAGAGAAGAGACAGAGAAGAACACGGCAAGTATTTGGAATAGAATATGCAAAGGTCCTGTGGTGAGTCAAGAGACAATTGGAAATTGAAGGCTATGATGGCTGCAGTAAGATGGGAAAAGAGGGATCAGGGGCTAGAAGTTGCAAGGCTTCTGAAGGAGTTTTTATTCTGAAAGCACCTGGAAATTATTGAAAGCTTTCAAGCAAGTTAGTGGCTTAGTTTTTGTTTTGAAATGATCCTTCTTGCTTCAGCATGTGGAACAAAACCGCAGTAATACAGCATGAGAGGATACATGGGGAACAGTTGTCTAAGTGAAAGAACAGGGGCTGGGGTTCCTATGGTAGCAGTGCAGGAAGCATGAAATGGCTACACTCCAGATTTAAAAGAGAGAACTTGTCACAGGATTTGGCATGGGTAGGAAAGGAGAGGAACATCAGGAATAGATCCTCATTGCCTGGATCAAAGCTGCCATACCCTGGAGTGGGGGATGGTCACTTTGGGGGAGGGGAAAGTCAATAGTTCACTTTGCATACATTGAGTTTGAGGGACTCTTGAGACATCTTGGGAGAGATGTCTTGTAGCTGGTTGTGTTTATGAGTTTGATCTCAGAAGAGACCTGGAGAATTTGTGAATCATTCGTTGGTAATTAAAGCTATGAGCAAGTGAAGTCACTTAAAAGAGTATAGTAGAGAACTTTAAAACCGCTGTCATGACTAGACAACTCACCAGTCTCCACCCAGGCCCATGCTCAGCTCTGCCAAATGGGCACTGGCACATGGACTGGGATTTGAGAAATCCTGGATTGTATAGTTTGTTGAAGCGTGCACAGCCTGGCTTTCCTAATGTCTCCACTCCCATTCCCCCACCCCCAGGCCTCTTCAGGGCTTTCTCTGTCACCTACTGAATGGAGCCGGAACTCAACCTAAAGTTCAAAGTCCTCCCCAGGCAGACCCAAATCTATCCCTTCAATCTTGGTGCAGACTGCTTCCAGCACAAACTATCTACTTGAATCAAACAACTTGTCACCCACTCCCTCTGCCCTGCAGCTTCCTGTCTCTGCTCCCTGGCTCAAGCTGTTCCCTGGAATCTCACTCTCCATCTCTCTCCTGATCACAGGCTGTTCTCCAACCTTCTGGGGTCCAGATCAAAGCCGGTTGCTTTCCTAAAGCTTCCCAAGCCCCATAAGGACTAGAACACTCCCCTTCCAGAGGCACTCCCTTGTGCGGGGTCCTGGTAAGCCCTGAAATTGTTATCTAACCATCTATATCTCTTATTTTGTATTTAGCAAGGTGACCCTCATTTTAGACTATGTTCTAACTAGATCATATCTCAGCTCTTGCCATTCTTAAGAGAGATATTCCCAGAATCCTTTAACTCTTAAGTTACCCTGGAAGCAAGTGTATAGTAGATTAGAGAAGACCTATTAGGATGCAGATGCTGGGTCAAAGATGGGGAAGAAGGCTGCCCTCTACCTGCTAAGTGGACAGTACATTCCCTCTGAGCCTCAATAGAACTATTGGTCTTCCCATAGTTCAGAATTCAAGTGATAACTGAAAGTGTGAATGATAAATCTGAGAATGCCAAAACTTGCTGAATTTTCCATGTCTCCTTTTACACTGTTGTACCTCAGAAGTGCCCTGTGAGAACTAGCTGACAGGGCAGATGGGTTACTGGTTACCTGAGGACCTGCCTGGTCCTGTTCGATGGAGGCAGCATGAGGAGCGGCCTCTGCTGTGCCGGGGCGCTGGCTCAAAGCATGGAGTGAATGAGTCATATAGAGGAAGACACTGGCAAGAATGGACAGATGGGGGAGGAGATGAGGGGATTAAAGGATTTGCCCACCTGCCCTCAATTGACCTGTCTGCACTCAGATTACCCACCCACCCTACCTCTCTACATGGTGCTCTGCTGTAGGGAACAGCATGACCGCACAGTGACCCTAAACAGCAGGGTTTTGCGTCATCCTGGCAGGGATGACAGATTGTGTTGAGCCAGAGGCACTCTCTGGTGCAAGTTCCCTAATAATCCCTGATTGTTTGCAAAATGCCAGAGTGTCTTTAGGAGTCTAGATTTATATTATAGGTAGTTGTGAGCTTAAATTCTGTGTGAATTAGGTTTTTTTTTTTTTTTTAATTGCAAGGCAGCAGACTCAATATTTAATCCCTGGCTCTTGTATTGTTAAACTAAGTACAGATACTACACTTAGGCAAAAGACCTAGAAATGATATGTGAATGAGCTTTTAATTCTGGATAAGTTGTTTAACCTCATAAATCGTCAGTTATGTGCAAAGTAAACAATGAGATACCACTACACACACACAACAATGAATGGTTAAATTAAAAAGCCTGACAATTTCAGGTGTCACTGAGAATGTGATCATCTGTAACTCTCATGCACTGTTGCTATGAAAGTCAAGTAGAATTGGTCCATTTCTAATGAAATGTTTTAAAGATGCTATTTAAGTTGAGCACAGTGGTGCATACCTGTAACCCCAGCGACTCTGGAGGCTGACCAAGGAACATCACAAGTTGGAGGCCAGCCTTGGTAATTTAGCAAGACTGTCTTAAAATAAAAATTTTAAAAAGGGCTGTGGAGTTGTAGCTCAGTGGTAGAGCACCCCTGGTTTCAATCCCTAGTAACACACACACACATTTGGTTTGGGGGATTAAACCCAGGGCCTTGTGCATGCAAAGCAAGCACTCTACCAACTTAGCTATATCCCTAGCCTCAGAGATATATTTGAAACATTGACCTCATACCCAATGACCTTGATGAATTATGTTACTAATTCTAAGAGTTTTATTCACAGATTATTTTTGATTTTCTCATATAATTATGTCATCCATAAGCAATGGTTGCTTGCTTTCTTTCTTTCCAATTGTTACACTCCCACAAAATAGTGCCTGTAGTGCAATATTAAATAGACTTGATGGGGACTCTCTTGTATCATTTCCAGTATTGGGGATGTCCTTTTGAATCTCATCATTAAGTAGGATGTTTGCTATAGATGTTTTAGAGATATTCTTTATTAGATTAAGGAAATGTCAGTCTTCCTAAATTTATAAGGGTTAGTTGCTTAAAATCACAAATGGATATTAATTTTATGAAGTATTTTTTCTGGATCCATGGAGATATAAAATTATATTACTTTGATCTTTATTAATATTTATCTGTATTCCTATTGATTAATTTTGGAATGTTAAACCAGTCTGTCATTTCAAGAATAAATTCAGCTTGACATTGTTGTATGATTCTTTCCATAATTATTTTTGTTAAGATTTTTGCATCTTGGTTCATGAGAGAGTGCCATCTAATTTTCTTGTCAAGTTTGGCATAAAGGTTATATTCAATTATAATGAATTAGGAAATATTCTTTATTTTCTTCTTCTTGCAAGAGTTTGTGTAATTTGGTGTAATTTCTTCCTTAAACTTTGGAATGGCAACTCTTTTGATGAAATGCTTTAGAGCTGGTCTTATAGACAATGATATAAAGCATGACTTAGACATAAAATAGTCAATTCTTGGCATGTGAAAATGTTCTTGTTTTTATTTATATCTTCCCATAAGCAGCTCTGGCCAGTTCACCTGTTCTTTTCCAGTTGTGTGTTGCCCAGCTAAGCAACTGTGCAGGAGACTGGTGAGGCTCCTTGAGGTCTGAGCCTGGTCCACAGGACTCTACATTCTTTCTTTCTGACCCCAGGCAGCCTGCCGAACATTGCTGAGCCATCTCCACACTCCTCTGACAGAATGAGTGCCCTCGATGGTGTCCCCTTCAAGGTACCCAAGGGTTTTGTGATCAGCACAGAGCCTCTCCCTGCACCAGAGTTCAGTATCCCTGCTTGCAGGGAGCTTCTGCTGGGTTCTGTGGTAAGTGTGCCTGTCTCTCTAGCTTCTTGTCCCTGGGTCTGAGGCCTGAGAAAGGGCAGCTTGATCTGCTTTTGAATAGTCTGGGAAGCTTGAATTTAATCCAATAGAGGGGGGGGGGAAAGTTTCATGAAGAAACTTGGTGGCTAGGTGATGAGGGTTGTTCAGTGGGTCTTGTTTTAAGCTGAGGATACTGAGAGGCTGCTTATATGAAGTGAGGGGCAGTTACTGCAATGGTGTTCCAGTTCCCCTTCTCTACCAACTTGTGGCCATGTCTAAAATTCCACCATTAAAATCACTCTTTTGGGTAAAGACTTATTCTCTGTTATCCTCTTAAAATGCAGACAGTTGCCTAGGGCACATTAGAAGGAATTAGAAGGGAGTGCTATTACACAGACCCACACCTGGAGGTGGCCTAGAAGGACCTCATGCCCCTGGTTCACATCCCTAGATTACACCTTGCTAGGTACACATTCCCAGGGTATATGGTGGTATTAAAGAGCTGTGGAGCTAGCCTGGATCCCCTGGGGCCTGGGCTCACAGACTTGGTGCTCACTCTCTACTATCTGCAGGAGTGTTTACAGAAAAGTTTGAAGGTCTGGTTTGGCTCTCGCTCATTTTACACATGAGAAACCTGATGTTTAGAGAAGGGGGATATTTATTCACAGTTATTGGTAGTGATAATATGAAAATCCAGGTCCTGACTCCAGGTAATTTCATATTAGCTAAGAGTAGAACTTGGAATGAGATATAAGATACCAGTTGGGGAAGGCAAAAACTGGGGCAAGGGGTTGTTGCAGGGAATTCAGGAGCATAGAGCGCAGTCCTGGGGAAAATCAGGTAAAGAGGTTGAGTGACCTCGAGGCACAGGAGAAGACCCAGTGTGAACTTGCTTCCTCTGTAGATCCAGGAATCACAGGCTCATCAGAATCAAGGTTTACAGCTGGAAGTGGTGCCACATGCCTATTATCCCGACAGCTTAGGAGGCTGAGGCAGGAGAATTGCAAGTTCAAAGCCAGCCTCAGCAACTTAACAAGACTGTCTCAAAATACAAAATAAAAAGAACTGGGGTGTGGCTCAGTGGTTGTAAAGCCCAGAGCACAGTGTCTATGGGATGCATGCTGCTGTGTGTAGCAGGTGCTCTGGCTCTCCCCTAACAGCCAGTGCTGCCTGTCTTCTCTTTGTGTTGTTGAGAACAGGAATTTACTTTACCAACCCTGCAATGGAGGTAGATTATCACAATTTTTCCCTCCTGCTCAGCTCTAACCACACTGAGAAGAAGTTGTTCTGAAGCTTCCCTCTCTGGAAGCCCTTTTCCTTCTGTATGTGTGTGGTATATAGTGGTTATAGTAGTAGTCATTTAGAATTATCTTTCCTTTTATGGTTTTGACCACCTGAAATTATAAAGGATTTCTCTTCTGTTTCTCCTAGTACTTTCTCGTGTCATATCATATATTTGAATCCTTTTTGGAATTCATCTTTAGACTGAGAATGAATCCAACTTTATTTTTTCCAGCTAGCTAACACAATTTATTGACTACATCTCCTTTTCCTACAGCTTGACTATCTCTCCTTTTCCTACTGCCACCTTTATTACTTTTTAAAGCCCCATATATATTATGATTTATGTCTGGATTTTCTATTATGTACCTTCAATCTGTTTGGGATAGTGCCATAGTTTAATTATCGAGAACTGGTAAAGCCAGGTCTCAGTTCTCCTTATTTATATTTTTGTTACCAGAGTTTTTATAGCTATTTTTATTTGTTTGTCTTTCATATTAAATTTAGAATTATAGTGTGGCATTTCAGAATAAAAAAAAATGTTGGTATTTTATTGGGTCTTTTATCCCTCTAAGTCCCACTGACTGTCTCTTTATCTCTTAGTCTTTTTCTCTCCAAGTATGCCTCAGTTATGAAATTGCCTTTTTCCTTCCTCTGTCTTTTATAACCTACCTGTTTTTGCTCAAATCTGCTTTTTCTAACCATTTATTCTGCACATGCCTATAAATATCCACTCTGTGCCTGGCCTGCCCCGGGCCTTAAAGATTCAGAGAAAGAAATAAAACCTGGTCCCTGACCTCAATCAGGCAGTCACATTGGAGCTGCTGAGTCAGACTTCTCTCCTCAAGGCAGGGTCATGTCAGTGAGAGAGGCAGTGCCTGTGTTCTGTCCAGTATCTGTGTCTTTCTGCCTGTCTGCCCCTTCCTCTCTCAAACACTACTTCCCCTAGCCTGTCTCTTCCTCAATTGGCCATGGGAGAGCACTAAAATTGCCCTTTAAAGTTATTTAGCCATTTTTTTCAGTGCTAGTGATCAAACCCAAGGCCTTGGGCAAGCTAGGTAAGTGCTCTACTACTGAGCTATACCTGCAGCCATACAATTTTTAATGGAGTTTTATGTTTTCTATTCTTAACTTTAAAGGTAAGAAACAGGGCTAGGGCTGTAGCTCAGTGGCAGAGTGTCTGCCTAGCACATGTGAAGCACTGGGTTTAATCCTTAGCATGCCTTTATTTATTTATTTTTATGTGATGCTATCAGTCTACAACTACAGAAAAGAAAGGTAAGAAATAGGAATACTCTCATTTTTTAATTCAGTTATAAATTGAATCAAAGTTAGAATAATTATATAGATTCCAGATTGCTTTCGTAGGTGGCCTAATAGTCAGTGGGGTGAGCACTACAGTCAGGTAGATCGAAACACAAGTTCAACACCCATCTATCTGTCCACATCTGTCATCTATCTGTCCACAGCAAATTAAAAAAATTAAGTCTTGCTGTGTGTACTGGCACATGCCTATAATCCCAGTGACTTGGGAACCTGAGATAGGAGGATCCAAAGTTCAAGGCCAGCCTCTCAGCAATTTAGCAAGGTCCTAAGAAATTTAGGGAGACTTTGTCTCAATATAAAAAGTAAATAGGGTTGAGAATATAGTTCAGGGTTAAAGCACCCCTGCATTCAATCCCCAGTACAAAAAAAAAAAATTATGAGCCTCATTTTCATAATCTGGAACAAGGAATGATACCTGACCTACTAGTTAAATTCAACAAAGGTTAGATTATATATTTCCTGGTCCCCAGAGTATCCCTGGATGAGAGCAAAGTGGGTATAGGGCAGCTATTAACTGCTCCATAGGGAGGTTTGTCTGATGAATGGGCCTCCAAGGCTGACTGTTCAGTGGCAAACTGCTGGGCTCTGGTGAACACTTCTTTGTGAAGAACGAGTTTTATTGGATTTTTTTTTTTTTTTTCTGAACTAGAGATTGAACCCAAGAGTGCTCTTCCACTGAGCTATATCCCCAGCCTTTTTAATTTTTTTTTTTTTTTTTGAGATGGGGTCTTGCTACATTGTTAAACCTGACCTCAAACTTTGGAACCCCTTGCTTCAGTCTCCCAAGTAGCTGGGATTACAAGCATGACCCATTGCACCCAGTTATTTGAGAGATTTTTAATGTAGTTAGCAATGACATACTGAATGGCAAAGGGTTTTAGATATTGCATTTCATTCTATTCAATCATTTCTCATTCTGCTCTTTATGCCAGAGCTTGCCAATAAACTGTTACCGGTATCCATTTGCCCCAGTGTTAGCTAAAACTATTGGTGGGAATGGGCTGTGTAGGATGCCCAGGACTCCGAATCAGAAGCTGTCCAGACCTGGTAAGTCTTTGGCTCATCAGGGTCCCCAGGCCAGCCATTAGGGCGCCTCCCAAGGTCCTTGTTTGCCCCATCTGGACCTCACAAAACCTTCTCTCAGCAGCATGACTTCAGCCTGGAAAGGAACACTCTTTTCTGGGTGGAGGCTGCCATCCGAGGACCCTGCTCGTACCAGTGCAATGATCTGAGGACTGTGTCAGCCCCTCCGGCCTGGCTCTTGCTGGTCAGTCCCGAAAGTGGGCTGGCATTTGCGCCTGACACAGCCAGAGACGAGGAGGATGGACCCCAGGAGCCGCTCGAGGAAGAGGAGAACGAGGAAGAAAGCTTCTCTGCCAGCGAGGAAGAGCTGGACTCCAGCAGCCCGCAGCCCGGTTCTCTAGGGCGCCCTGGCTCCAGCCATGGCCTGCGCTCCCTGGATGTGCTGCGCAGCGTGAGGTCCGAGCTGGCTGGGGCGCGGCGGCGGCTCTCTGAGAGCAGGTTGGCTGCCTGTCCCCGCGCGCTCCTGCACCGCTTTCGCGGTCACCGGGCGCTGAGCCTGTGCCCCTCACCGCCACCCGGGCCTGCACCCCAGCTCCCCAACGTCCCTGCACCCCAGCCCCCCAACGCCCCCGCGCTGCCCCCACGGCCCTCGACAGCTGGCTCCATGCCCCCACTGCGGAGCCACAAGCCCACTGTTGCGGTAAGGACTGCCTGCTCCACCAGGGCCTCTGCTGGCCAGCCTCACCTCTGCAATCTCAGCTCCTTCCTCCCCGTGCTCCTTCCTTCTTAGCTTTACCTGTTCCCATCTGGCCCCGGTGTGCAGCCCTTCTGGCCATTTACCTAGAATATTCTCTGCTTAGCGGAACCCATTCTGTTTCCCTGCTCTGTCTGCTTTGCCTCTATTGGGGCACATTTCATGATGATTGTAATTACTGGTACCTGTCTGTTTCCTTGGGTGGAATGAGTTCTTTTAAGGCAGGGATCAGATGGCATTCATTTTTGTTTCCAGGGCATCTAGCAGCAGATTTGACCCATAGAGGGTTTTTAATGAATGTTGAATTGCCTTAATGAAGGAGACACAATTCTAAGGCCTCCCATGGATGAATTTTACTGTAGACTGGGTAAGCTGGAGGCTCAATCAAGGGATAGTCACTGTAGTAACTTCCTGCCAAACACTGGGTTGGGAGAGATAAGATCCAAACCACAGGACATAGAGAGTTGGTCAACGGGGTGTGGACAAGGCCAAGCCCTGTATAGTAGGATAAGGTGTTGAGAGACAGAGAGGGCTTCTGAAGGATGGTAAGGCTTCAGGCGGAAATAGTGAGCTGGGCAGAACCCGGAGGAGAGGCAAACTTATGGTGAGGCCAAAGAAGCTTCATCCTTGGAACCTTTACTCTGTCCCTTCCAAGGCCTTATACCCAATTTCATGTTCTTCATTAAATGTTCTTTTTCTTTAAGAAGTCCTCTCCAAATTGTTTTAAGTTATCAGACTCCACAAAACCTAGATCCAGAGCAGATGAGTTAGGTCAAGAATTGGTAGCAGAGAGTAGCACTTAAGCACAGCTTTCTGCCAGTCAAGCCAGGAGATGCTGCAGAATGAGGCCAATGAGGTCTAGAACAGCCATGTAGGGAGGATGGGGTAGATATTCTGTTGATGAGGAAACAAAGACAAGAGTAGACTCTTCTCCTAAAATGTGGATCTCCACCCTTGAGGTAAACAGTAGTCCCTAGAGTGGGGTCATATTAGGGAAACCCAAGAAGAAGGGGACAGATGGGTGGGGAATTCCTATGCCCCACGTACACTTGGCCCCAGGAGCTAGAGCGGCAGCTAGTCTTTCCTCGGAAGATAGAACTAGGGTGCTGTGTTCAGGGCTAGCAGAGGAGTTCTACTGTGTGGAGAAGGGGTGCTGGCAAACCAGCTGAAATGCCTTCAAGTCACCTTCCTTAGTCCAGCATTTGTGTGAGTCTCTCAAGCACAACTGAGGGGTTGGTGTGCCCAGTTCCTACCCTACCATACACCCTGCCAGACCCCAGCCCAGATGAACTCAAGAAGGAGAGTCTGGCTAGGAAGGTCTTTTCCTGCCCCATGAGGTAAAGAACCTCTGAGTAGGGTTCAGCTCCCAAATGTGTGTTGTGTATCAGGGTCATTAACTTCTCTGAACCTTGACTTCAATATCTGTAAAAAAAGATAGCAGGGTGGACATATTATATTCTTTTCCTTTCCTTCCCTTTATTCTTGAGTTAGAGCCTCACTAGGTTGCCCAGGCTGGTTTCAAATTCCTGGGCTCAAATGATCCTCCTGCCTTAGTCTCCTGAGTAGCTGGGACTCCAGGAGTGCACCATAGCACCTGGATACCTATCATATTTCTTTTGCAGGGTATTCTAAGTAATAAGTATTAGCCTTCACTGACAGTTTCTGTATGCCAGGCCCCTTTGCTGATCCCTTTATGCCAGGCCCCTTTGTTGATCCCTTTGTTCATGTTGTCTTATTTAAGCCTCGTTACAACCCTGTGAGGTACTTTTGAGATTGCCTCCATTTTACATTTAAATAAAGTGAGTAGACAGTGGGGAGCTGGGGTCTTCTGGGCTCTAACCCCACCCCCCCACACCCCCCATGCTAACTCCTACACCAGGTATAGAAAGTGGTACACAAAGGCACTTTTAAAATGTCCAGCCCAGCCAGGTGTCACCTCCTTTGGTAACTGACATGCCAGCCTCTCTGTATTTCAGTCTCTCAGTCCGTACACCTGCCTGCCACCCCTGAGGGGAACACCCCAGCCTCTCAACTCCCATAGATCGCACCCTGATTCTACAGCTGACCTGCTGTCTGCACTGAGCCAGGAGGAGCAGGACCTCATAGGGCCGGTGATTGCCCTGGGATATCCCCTGGGAAGGGCCATTGAGGCTCTACAGAAGACAGGGAGACAGAGCCTGAGCCAGGTAAGTGAGGGACCCAGAACTGAGGGGCTGTGAAGCTGGAGCCAAGTGAGTGGCCATGTGGTTTTGTACCTTGAATATGTTTTGAACCTCAACCTGGTATTAATTATTGGGGTTGTGAGCAAACCTCTAGTCCCTATGCTACCTCCTCCATAGGAGTTATCTTCACACCTACTCGGGGAATCTCAGTATTCTACTCCTGTCTAGCTCTTGCCCTAAATACAGGAACTGGAGCTTCGTGTAGTCAAGAATCTTTCTAGAATAGTCCAGTAGAACTTTATCTAATGAGAGATGTTTTTATCTGTGTTGTTCAATATAATAGCCACTAGCCTACTTCATTACATTCAATGTGGCTAGTGTGATTGAGAAACTAATTTAAAATTTTCTAAAATTGTAATTAAATTTAAATTCAAATAGCTACATATTTAGTGACTTGGAGGGCACAACTCTAACCACTTTCCTCAATGAATAGTTTATCAATACCCACATCCATTTCTCCACATCCTTCCATCTGGCCAAGAGTATTTATTATTTATTTTTTAAATTGATTTTCAAAAAATAAATGACAGTGGAATGCATTACAATTCTTATTACAGATATACAGCACAATTTTTCATATCTTTGGTTGTATATAAAGTATGTTGACTGGCCAAGAGTATTTATTGTGCACTTTTTGGATATACATATGTAGCTGGGAGCTATAGGAAAAACCAAGGTACATAAAAACCAGTGCTGTGGGTTGGGTTCCCCAGGAAGCAGAGTCAGATGAAGTTTGGCATGTAGGATGCTTATTAAGGAGGTCCTTGGGACCAGCTGCTATGGAAGGGAGGGGACAGAAGCAGAAGTGGCAGAGGAAGAAGAGCTGTAATGTAGGACCAGAAATAGCATCAGCTAATCCCACAGCTCTGGAACCTCTCTGGCCCCTCAGAGTTGCCTAAGTGAGGCTGATATGACCAGGCTTTCTACCCCTACTTCAGGCAGTCTTTGTTCATGGGAAGGGTGTGACGTGAGAGACATGGATCTCAACAGCTTAGGCAGTCCTTGAGGGTGTCTCCTATCCCTCCCAGCATCTGGGGTAATGAGTCCTTCAGTAAAGGGCCTCTGGAAGGTGCATCAGAGTTTACCACCACCAGATTCTATTTTCAAAGAGTACTCTTATTGCTAGAATTATGGACACTCAGTGATGGCACTCAAAGGGTAGCACTTCAATCTTCTGTAGTTTGGGGAAGTAGGTCTTGACTCCCAATAGAAGCCAAGAATGTGAGAGCACCTGCAAAGGAGTGAGGATCCCCAAAGTACCTAAAAAGAGCTGCTGGTTACAAGATGCCTGGGAGCATAACGGGCATGTATAAGTGCTGCGGAGTATTTCTGTCATCTGCTGCTGTGCAACAAACCGCCTGAACCTTAGTGCCTTAATCAACAACCATGAATTTGCTTATGAGATTCTGTGGGTTGGCAGTTTGAAGTTGGACTCAGCTAGGTGATCTTCTGCTGGTCTCATCTTGATCTCTCTTGTGGCCATAGTGTAGTGACTTCGTTGGGGCTAAATTGCTTAAGATGGGCTTGTTCCCAGTCCAGAGAGGTTGGTGTCAATTGTCAACTGGACCACACACATCCGACAAGCTAGCTCACTTGGTTCCAAGAGTGAAAACTTCAGGGCCTCCTGAGGCCTGGGCTGGAATTGTACATAGTCACTTCTATCTTATTCTGTTGGCCAAAGCATGTCATAGACTAGCCCAGATATAAAGGTAGAAAAATAAACTCCCTCTTGATGGGAAGAACACCCCAAAATTTATGGTTATTCTCAGTCTACCACAAGGAGGTTCTAGTGAGTAGGAAAAGCTTCATGAAGGGACCACACATGGAACAGGACTTCCAAGTCTAGATAAGACCTGGCTTTGAAATAAGGAGAAGAGTAATAGGGATAGTGTGAGCAAAGGAGTTAGAGGCAGAAAGGAAATGTGCAGGAGATCTGATCCAGTCCGTCTTGCTGGAGAAGATTCATGAGGCAGGCTGGTGGGAGATAAGACAGGGAAGGGGAGTTGGGACAGGTTGAGGATACTTTGAAAACTGGGCTGAGACTTTTATAATAACCTAGTAGGCAAAAGGGAATCATAGAAAGATTATGAGTGAGGACAGGAGGTGGCATTGAATGCTATTGTCTGTGTACCCCTATTGTAGCATCTCCTTTGTATTTTCTAAATATTGGGGCTCTTCATGGCTAGAAAACTGGTCACAGGGCAGTTGGCACTTATTCCTTTTTCTCCTGTCTCCACCCCACCACTGCCAGAGGACTTGAACTCCTTCTCCTCCTTCTTCTCCTTCTCCTCCTCCTCCTCCTTCTCCTTCTTTTTTGGTACTGGGGATTGAACCCAGGGGTATTTAACCACTGAGTCACATTCCCAGCCCTTTTTATATTTTATTTTGAGACAGGGTCTCGCTGAGCGCCTCACGAAATTGCTAAGGCTGGCTTTGAAACTGTGATCCTCCTGCCTCAGTCTCCTGAGCTGCTAGGATTTCAGGCATGTGCCACTTCCTTCACCTCCTCCTTCTCCTTCTTCTTCTTTTTTAATTTGTTTGTTGTAGATGGACACAATACCTTTATTTTGTTTATTCATTTTTATGTGGTGCTGAGAATTGAACCCAGTGCCTCACACATGCTAGGCAAGCGCTCTACCATCGAGCTACATCTCCAGCCCCTACACCTTCTTCTTAATCACTGATGACTGCAGAATAGTGAGTGGGTCCCTGAGGTTCAAGACTCAGGCCTGCTCCTGGGTGAGGGAGTGACAGGAGAGTGATTCTTAAACAGGAGCCAGAGCAGAATGTGCTGCTGCCAGGTTGGGAAAGTGGGGAAATGCTCCTGATGTTCTTCCCAACCCACTCCTGCTTTTTCTCTACCCTGGGTTCATAAGTCTATGCCCTATCTGGAAGAACACTTTCAACATGGTGACCCCCATGCTAGCTAAACTGGGTGGGGAGGAGGGGTTACTAACAGATTTTTAATACTTTCTTTGCACTGGTCCCTTAATCTGAAAGTCTTCAGTTAGGTCTCAATTCTACAAAGTTATTATGCTATTACTGTCCTAGGCATTTTGCAGATGAGGAAACTGAGACCAGGGGGTTCAATAGCCTGTCAACGGCAACAGAAGTGTTGAGGTCAGGTTGTCCTGATTCTGAATCTTTGTTGGACAGTGCTTTTCTTTCATTCTCTATGTGAAAACCTCCTAGGACAGCAACCTTGTCTTATCTGAGATTTAAGAGCATATCTAAAGTGGCCCCTACCCTTAGCTGACCTTGGCCAAGAAGCTGGATAGGAGGGCTGTGAGGTTCAGGCCCACAGTTGGGCTTTGACATGCTTCCTCAGTCCCTTTGCCCACTGTGACAAGGCTGAGGTCTCAGCCCATCATTGTGGAATTCTGAAGATTAGTCAGAGCCAACACAGGGCACTGGCCTCCCAATGTGTTGGGTTTAGATCCTTCTCCCCTTGAAAGGAAGGAGAGCATCAGATGATGGAGATAGTACACTTAGAAGAGTCAGGAAGAGGAGATATAAGAGGAGATTCAAAAGATAAGCTCTGTGGTCTGGGGTTGTAGCTTAGTGGTAGAGTGCTCTCCTAGCATGTGTGAGGCACTGGGTTCAATTCTCAGCATCTCATATAAATAAATAAATTAATTAAAGGTCCATTGACAACCCAAAAAAATTTTTTTAAAGGATAAGCTCTGTGGGCTGGGGTTGTGGCTCAGTGGTAGAGCTCTTCCTAGCATGCATGAGTCGCTGGGTTCAAACCTCAGCACCACATAAAAATATAATAATAATCAAAAAATAAAAATATTGTGCCCACCTATAACTAAAAAATAAATATTTAAAAAAAAAATAAATAAAAGATAAGCTCTGTGCCTCTCTTCTTCCTTTTACAGATATGATGTGCCCAAAGGACAGGCTTGAGCAGCATGTGTAAGGGTCCAGGGTCCAAGCTCAGAACTTGCTATAGGACTCCAGACACACCAAGCTCCCTTTTTTGTGCTTCCCTGTTTATAGGACAGAGGAGGAATAAGTATGTGTTTGGAACCAATGACTTCTGGAAAACCCATCCTGGGGTCTGAAGGTGACATTTAACCTAGGGCCTCAGGCAAGCTTGGTACCCTCTACAGTCCCATAGACCCAAAAGCTGACCAAGCAGCAGAATCTTTAAAGTGCAGACCCCCAGGCCCTGTCCTGAAGAGCCATGATCTATCTGGACCAAACCCAAGAACCTATAATTTTAGAAGATCTGCAGATGGTCTAGGTATGCAGCCTGGCATGGTGTGGAGGTGGTCAGCTGTCCCTTCAGCCAGTGATTCTTAACTTTGGCTGCACATTAGAATCACCTGGAGAACTATAAATACATCCCAGTGTCCAGGTTACGCCTCAGATCAAATATACTGGAGCCTCTGGTGAGGCCCAGGCACCAGTAATTTCCAAAATTCCCAGGGTGGTTGTAATGAGCACCAAGGCTGAGAATCATTGCTATGGGCAAGCCAAAAGGTAAAGGGAGCATCCACCATCTGCCCTTGCCTTTGCCCTCCCACCTTCTGAAGGTGAAGTTTTCTTCAGAACCCCTGTCCACTGCCAAGCTACCTCAAAGCTTTTCCTCTAGCAACCAATCTCCTTCTCAGACAAGAGGTCAAGTTATCCTGGAACCCTGGGCAAACCACCTGCCCTGCCTTGACCTGTTTCCCCAGTTGTGAAAGGCAGCCTTGGGTGTGTGATTTTCCAAATGTGCTCAGAGCGAGGTCTAGACATTCCAAGCAGAACTTCTGGCAGGAGTGCTGGATTCTGGGCTCCCATGGCCTTTGCCCTCTGTTCTTCCAGGCAGCTCTGATCTTAGCTTATTATTGAAGCCTCATATGCTAGGACAAACAGCTCAGGAGTGACGACAGTTTGAAAACCATTAGGTTAGATGATCTGCACTTTCTGCCCCACTCTGCAGAAACCCAACCTGCTCCTTCTCGGCATATACTCATAATTCTTGTGGTCTGGAGCCTTCGTTTGACACCTACTCCCTATAAATCCTGCTTTGATTTGCCTGGCACTGATGTTGTCCTGTGTCTGGTTTATCTCCCCCACTAAGCTGTGAGTTCCTTGAAGGGTAGTTCTTAATTCAGTTTATAAACATAGCATATATTTATTGAGCTCCTTCTGCCGCCATGCTGGTGCTGGAGACCCAGTGAACAGAACTGCCCAACCTCTCCCTGTGGAGCAAAAAGCGAGTGGGTAAGGAAGATTAAGTGAAGCAATTACAAAGTTGTATGTGCTGTGCCAGGGAGCACAGGGTGGTCTGGGCGCACTAGAGATGGCACCCAGTGAAGACAGAGGTGGCAGAGAAGCTTCCCCAGGAGAGCACTGAGGCTTGCTTTAGCTGGGGGAGCCAGACAGGCAGAAGCCTGGAAAATATTGGATGGAACTGAGCCCTAGTAAAGAGGCAGCACTTTATCCTAAGAGTAAAAGTAGCCCCTGGTGACTTAGGCAGGGAGTGACTGGAGCAGGTGTGCAGCCCTGTGGGATCCTCCTCTCCCTACCACCCCTCCCTCTGGTTCTGGTGCAGGACTGTTAAGCCTCAAGGAGCTCTGGATGGCAGAGATGTGTCTGGGGTAGGGTGGTTATGCATAGGTGTATATGGCTGAGGAGACTCCTTCTCCAAGGAGGGTGGGCAGGCTGGGGTGAGTGGTGCACATGTGCAGGATTGCCTAGGGGTGGCAGGTGAGATGCCCGCCCATCTGAGGCCTGTCGTGGTCCCCACTTAGGTTCTGTGAACATCTTAGCCCACTCTGAAAGTCCTTTTCCTGGATTCCAGCCCCCAACTTGGGACAGCCAGTGAGGTGAAGACCCATTGTCCACCTGTCCCCAGGTCCTTTTTTCCTCTTCTGTTAGCCCATGGTATCTCTGGGGCCCCATGGGATGTGGTGGGCTGGCCAATCTGCCTAATTCTGAGCTCAGGCCTTAGTGAGGCCCTGGGTGCCTCTACACCTCGTCTGCTGCCTCTGCCTCTCTTATCATCCTTCCCTCTTTGCCTTCTTCCCACCCAGTTTCTCAGCTACCTCGGTGCCCATGAAAGGCTTCTGCAGCAGGGCTACGAGGAGGCCCTGGTGGACGAGGCCATGGAGATGTTCCAGTTCTCTGAGAGCCAGGTCAGCTGGGCCTCCTGCCTGGGCTCTAGGGGCTGGGAGGTATGGGTCACACCAGTTCCCAGAGCAGCCTGTGGGCTGGACAGGAGATAGCCTGTAGCCTCAGTCCAGGGGAGAAAGAGCCAGCCCAGGGAGATGAAGCCGAAGATAGAGGGAGAATCCCGAGATGTGGGGAGGACAACTGGAGGCGAAGAAAGCAGGGGTTTTGTTTTATTTAGCTGAATCAACACAACAGACATTCGTGAATGCCCATTCTTTGTCAGACACCCAGACAGGAATCAAGGGCCACACAGAGATACTTGAACTCCCCAGAATGCAGGCAGCTGCAGGCCTCACAGAAAATTCTAAGTGCTTGATGAATACTGCTTGCCTCCAACCCTATTCCCAGCCAGAGCACCTGTTCATAGAGGCAGCCAGAGGGACAGAGGTGCTGAGGAGGAAAGGGGTCAGAAGAGGAGGGCAGGCAAGGGCTGCATTATGTGAAACCTCAGCGATGCTGGCGCACCTGGCGCCATTGTGCACCCTTCTTCCTGCCCCAGTACCTGAGCACAGGGGTCAAGGCCAAGTGAGAGGGGAGAGGTGAGGCCGGGCAGAGCCAGTGGCCAGGTCAGAACTTCTTTCCCTGGTAGAAGAAGAGTTGGGAGCCACATCACACTTCCTACACATAGAGGTACAGGAAGACGGCAGATGCTGCCGAGGATTAGGTTCTTCTGGTTTGGGGGGCCACAGCTTTCTGGGATGAGGTGCAGTAGGTACTGGGGAGATGCTTCCAGGGTGTAGTTGGGCCTTGCAGAGCCCCCTCCCATCTCCTCCTCCTCAGGCCGGGGAATTCCTACGCCTCTGGGAGCAGTTCAGCGACATGGGCTTCCAGCCACACCGGATCAAGGAGGTGCTGCTTGTCCATGGCAACCATCGCGATCAAGCCCTAGAGGAGCTGGTGGCCTGTGCCCAGTGACCGCTGAGGCATTCTGCAAGGCCTGGGCAACCCCGTCCAGCCTGTTACGAAAACCTAACAAGACTAAGGAAGCCGTGCATTCTCACTGTGTAAACAATGCCAAGGGTGGGAGTTGAAAGCATTGCCCCCTTGCCTCCTGGAAGGGGCAGAGGGGAGAGGGTGGGCAAGGAATCATGTTTTTCATATTTGTATTTGACTCTTCAAACTATGTGCATTAATCACTTTGACTTTGAGAAAATTAAAACAAATAAATCATGGCAGTTCTTTTTTTAATATTTATTTTTTTAGTTTTAGGTGGACACAATATCTCTATTTTACTTTTATGTGGTGCTGAGGATCAAACCCAGAGCCTCATGCATGCTAGGCGAGCGCTGTACCACTGAGCCACAACCCCCAACCCTTGTGGCAGTTCTTTTGAGTCCTGTAGGCTCCTGGTTTTGGTTTGGAAAGAAAATCTTAACTGTGGGTTAGAAGCCTTGAGTTCTGATGATGTCTGGAATCAAGGAGTTTTTGAGCCTTAGATTCTCAAGAAAAAGTAGAAAGATTTGACCAGGTCAAAATTTAAAAATTTTCAGACCTAGCTGCTCTCCATAAGGTATTCTGATTCAAAAGGCATAGCTTGGCAGCCATCAGGAATCTGTTTGCTTGCGGGTTTCTTTTTTTCTTGGAGATAGTTCTTTCTGTTATCCAGGCTGATCTTGAACTCCTAGACTCAAGTGATCCTCCCGCCCCGGCCTCCTGAGTAGCTGGGGCTATCGGTGTGTGCTGTCATGCCCAGCTTGTTTTGTTTTATGTAAGAAGCCCCCTGGGTATTCTTTACAATGTACTAGGCCCACAGCTAGTGTTTGTGAACCTCCAGAACAGCCACTCTATGCCCCCTGCTCTGACAATCTGGGGTCCTATGTCAGTCATTCCTCCTTGGGGATAGGGAAGTTGGTACCAGAGTAGCCTCTAGTCACCCCAGGTCTATCCTTTAGAGGTCCTCAAGAATTGAGATGGCCAGTTGCTATAGTGGCCCATGACTCAGGCAAGCAGAGGTCAGAGGCCAAGATGCTGGTGCCCTGCCATTCCAGCTGGCCCACGCAAAAACCTGTGGCAATTACCACAAAATCCAAACCTCCCAGCTTCACTCCACCCTGCAAATGGGGCTGGGCATGGAGCTGAGGTCTGTTAAAAAAAAAAAGGAAACTTCCACATTTCTCAGTTCATAGAGACACTGTGTTTGAATGTGTAACAGGGACTTCTGCAGGTATACACTGCAGAACTAGAACTCAGGTCTCCTAAGGCTGTCCAGCCCCTTGATGCTTCCTAGTAAGCCTCAATGTCTGCCAACTTGAAATCACATTAAAAATATTCTTTGGTCTTCAAACTTGTTTTGAATAATTTGCAGGCAATACAAAACTATTAGAAAATCTGAAAGATGGCACCAAGTTGGTCATGTGTCTATTGTCCAAAAGAGAACTACACTTGGAAAAGACAGTAAAGTTCAATTTCTAAGATACAATGTTAGCTCCAAAGCTATTTGTGTTCTGATTAACCTGGACTCAGTCCATCACTTTATTAAGTCCCCTGGATTAGAGGTGACTAGTTGGCAGGCCCTCACACATGCCACTATTCCCATCCTTCTTCCACCTGCCCCAAACCTTTCCATCCCTAGAAAACTATTGCTTGATTAAAAATGAAATGGCAATGGGCAAATTTGTTAGTTCAAAATAATTTTTTAGATGATAGAATAATGAAATCACATCTAAGCTGGAACTACATCCTAGATCATTATCTAGTTATGTGACTTTTTGAAATTGTTAAGCACCTGCTCAGCCCTGTGTTAGTCTCTCTGAGATGAGATGATACAACCAGCATTCCAGAAGCTACTTACAGCTAAGTTGATGAGCCAAAACTACAACCAAAGACCCATTCATTCACTGATTCTTCCACCCCACAAACCTTTATTACATACCACACCAACTCAGCCTGCAGTGGGGGAAGGTGGGACAAAGCATGAGAAATGGCCTCTGTCCTGGAGCGGGGCTTTCTGGGGCTGGCCTGGCTTGTGGGTCAGTCAGCAGCTCCTGTGGGCAGGTCAATGCCTGTGCTGGTGATAATGGCAGGCAGGCAGGCTCTGGCTCAATAAGGGCCTCTGAAGGTTATACTTGGCCAGTTCCCTGGTGGAACTGGATCCTGGCCAGACACCCTGGCTGGCTCTATCCCCAGCCCAGCAGTGGGGTACCCACCCCAGCCCAGCCTCCTGGCTCCTAATGGTGGCCCTCCCTCCTGCCCATTCTCCTCCTGAGAGGAGAATAACCTGTCCTTATAAGGCCACCCACTCAAGAGACGTGCATTCTGTGTCCTCTGGGCAGCTGCCCATGTGATGTCATCTGCTGTTTTATTGCTCAAGACTTTTAACCTATGGTTTTATTTTTTTGTCATTAAGAAAATGTTTCCAGGTTGAGCAAAGACATTAACTGGGTGTCAGATGAGGGCAGAAAGATGGAAGGAAGCCAGAGGATTAGGGAGCCAGAGACCCAGGACAGGCCAGCCTGGGGGCATGGCTTAACCACAGATTCCAAATACCCCCAGCAGCCTTAGTATTCCAAGGACTCCAGCAAGCCTCATGCTGACCATTGCCCCTTATTAAGTGACACTCAGTATAGTTGGGAGAATGTCCCCTCCCTCAGATATAGTCATCTTAGTTGTTGTCCAAGTGTCCTGTCATCCTCAGACCAGGGATAGGCACATGTCACATCCACACAGAGCCAGTGGGCCTGGGCCTATAACCTCAGAACCCTGGGGGCACTTGATCTGGCTGTGACCAGGAGTGGACACAGCTGCTGGAGTCCTGGAGTCTGCAGCTGCTGGGCTCCACCCTTCCCCAGCAGGTGCTCTGGCCTTCCCAGGAGCTAAGCACCCAGAGTTCTTCCAGTCGGATCCTGTTCTCCTTAACTTGGCCAAAGGTGGTTCCACCTGCTGACAACCAAAACACCAACAGGATACAGTGAGGACAGGGACACAGGCAGCAACCAACTGGGGTAGAATTTGTCCTGTCTCCCTGTGAACCTGGGGAAAGTCTAAACTTAGGGAGGAAAAGTTGGGCCTGGACTGTCTGCAAGGTTGTGGCCTCCGGTGGGCAACTTCCATCCTGGGCCTGTAACTGCTGAGGGAACCCTCCCTCCTACTGCGAGGCCCTGGGGACAGACACTGAACCCTGCAGTCTCTCTGCCCCTGAGCCTGACACAGCTTGTAGTTAGACACTCAGGTGTGTTTGCTGAATGGGAGAGAAGGAGGAAAAGAGGGAGAGAGGGAAACCTAGGAATGCTGTCCCTCCTTTGGGGAGTACGTGGCACATTTTGCATGGCAGCAGAGTGGAGCGGAGACAAGCCTGGGTCATGTCCCTGAGCAGGTCAGAAGCAGTGGCCACACTGTGGTGTAGCAGGTCCAGCTGAGGAGAGGGGTGGGTGCTGCTGGTCAGGAAAGCCACCACCCCTGCCCCTGTGATGAGTTTTGCTCTGACACCCCAATCCCTGCCATATGGGGGCAGGTGGCCAAAGAGATAGCCTGGAGGTAGTCCAGAGCTGTTTGGGAGGTTCAAGGTAGGAGGAAGTGAAGCTAAGAAAAACATTTTTATCTCCTCAGGGGTGCGGGACCCTCAGGGACCTTCCATAGGTATGACACTTCATCTGTATATTTGGTCAGACCCAGCAGTGGGGAGGGCTCTCTGTACATCTCAGGTCAGAGGACAGGGCCCTGCCCCTGCACCTCACACACCCCTCCCTTCCACCTCCACCAGAGGGAGCACTGCTCCAGGTCCCTACAACAGTGCCAGATCAGGGTTACATTCTGGAGACAGTGCACTAACAAGAGGAATGGCAGGCCCCAACCCCTCCTTAGGGCTCCCTCTATTGCTACAGAATCACCTTCTCCAGACTAACTGCTCTTGCCTGGAGGGTCGAGATTCTTCTGGTTTATTGACACTGTGGGCCCAGCACCGTTTGTTCTAAGCTCTGTGTGCTATTTTATCCTCCCAACAGCCCTTTGAGTTTAGGCACACTTATGCTCACTGACAGAAGCCCATCTGAGATCCCAAGAGGTTAGATTGCCCAAGGTCACACACTCTAAAAAGTGCTAGAACTGAATTAGAATCCAGAAAGTCTGAGTTAGCAGCTGAAACATTCCTGCTACCTCACTGGCTCCCGTCACAATGGGGCCCTCACCTGGTCCCATAGCAAATATGGGCATCAGACAGATGTCCTCTCATCTTCAATGACAGACACAAAGCAGCTCAGAGAGGGATGTAACCAGCCCAACATCACCCAGCAAATGGGTGATAGGGCTAAACCTGGAGCAAGGGTTTCCAGAGCTCTCACTGGGGAGCCTGAGGACCCCTTGGTTAAATTGGTGAAGGTCAAGTCTGGCCAGGGCAGTGGAGAGCCAGGCCCTGCCTCGAGGCTGGTGCTGCAGTTCTGCCTGGTCCCTCACCTGGAAGTGGATGGCAGAAGCTGTGTACTCTGGAGCTCACGCCTCTGGTTCTGTTTCCATTCCCAGCCAATCTTCAGAGAGCTTCTAAAGGTCAATTTTTTCCCCTCATATTAAAGTGTTTTGGGAGGTAAGGCCCCAGCTTCCAGTCACAGTCACGGAGGCACTGCCCTTGCCCAGAAGACATTCCTCTGGTTCCCATCACCGTGTAATCAGGCTGAGGCATGAGATGGACATATTCCAGTATCCTTTACTGTGCCCAAGCCTAGCCACTCAGTGACCATGCCCATAGAGATGGCCAGAAGGGACAGGGCACACATCCAGCAAGCTCCAGCCAGGAAATAGATGACAACTCAAATCAGGTCCTCAGGGAAAGTTGAGGAATGAGGCCATTTACAAAGAGTGAAGGGCCACTCCAGGAACTGCAAGAGACAGCTGGGCTCTCGCCACTCCTAGACCTGAAGGAGTGGCCACCCCAAGCCAGAGACTGAGAGGACTACACAGAAAGGGCCACCTGTCAGGTCCTGTGATTGGGTCAGTGGAAGAAAAAGCACAAGACAGCCACGCAGAGAGGGAGCTGGGAAATGAGTCCCCTGACCTCACACTCCCCCATCCCTACTCCGGCTGGTGCTCCCATTGGGCAGCTTCCAGGGGCACTGAGCACCTCTGTCGTCTACTGCACTCACTGCCTCAAAAATGTGCCATGGCTCCCCATTCCTGTAGAAGAAAGCTCAGGTTCTCCTGCCAGGCATTCAAGGGTCCCCACACTTAGGCCCCAAGCCACCTC